CTATAAAGAGCAATGGCTTCCTGTAGGGTAAGCAATCTGTTACATTCATTTGATCAGATCTTGTATTTTCTTTCTGGAAGCCCCCAGACAATTTTAATGATAAACTGAAAAAGCAGGTTTCTCTTGTCTCCTGCCACATCCCAGACCAAATGCCACCGACACTTTGTCATCTTGAACCTGGTTACAGTGCCAGCAAGTCACCAGCACTACTCTGGTTGACAACAACCTTTCTTTTGGGACTCGCTGGCTTTCATTCAGTTCTCTAGTTGTCTGAAGAAGTGACTAATATGCTTCCATGCCCTTACAGGTTTGTTTCTCAACAGCACAATGAAAAGAACCTGCTTACCACAGCAAACTTGTTTTCTACAGAAGGTATGAGCAGTGGCAAAGCTGGATCTGTTCCCCACTGTCCCCTAGCATTCAGAAGGCATCTCATCAGGATTGTTAATGAAGTCTTAAATTCAGCCTAAGGCAGAATTTGGTAGGTAATAAGTGCTCTTGCAAAAACCAGTGCTGAGTAAACAGAAAACACGCTTTGCTACCTCTGTAGCTGACAGGGGAACTGATAAAAACTGAGTATTTTATCTTTGTTACAGTCTCACTACAGATTTTCTTACTTATTTTTGATCATTGCTACATACATATAGGCTGAGATAACACATGACTATCTGGAAAATGGTCAATATTATAGACTTAACTATGCTCTGGAGAGCAGAAGCCTGTAAGAAAGGGCTCTATCACGGTTAATTCCTAAAACTTGGTCCTAGATCTTACAGAGTAATGGAAAACTAAAACATGTAAGGTGTTTGCGATTCATTCGTAAACTGCTCCACTGGGTGACACAGTGCAGTGATTCTAATTTCACCCTTGCATCACTCTATTTTGTAAATTCTGGGTATCTAAAGTGAAAGGTCTTGTGCTGCCGGAAGCAGAAGAAATAATACACTTTCCCCATCCTCTTTACACTGTAGAAAGCTCTACATGTCTACAAACAGGAATTTTTTTTTTTTTTTTCAAAAATCAAAACCATTTGTTTCCTTGAATTGTATTAATTAATTTCTGGCAGTGGTAACATCTGATAGGCAGGCACCAAATACCATAGCAATGTTGTGAATACTCTGAAGTAAAGCAGGATTTAAACATGGGAATTGCATTCTGCTATCTCACTATCCACACATCACACTATCCACTTGTGAGTTTGGATAATATCTTGGCAATCAGTGATTCAAACTTTTAATCTCTATGCCAATTCACACTGATGAACTGCAAGCTATGAAGCAACGTTACCTGAAATTTAGAAATCACAAAAGGAGTAAGCCATTCCTGGGGGTGCAAGGTTCATTTTTAATCTCTGTGCAACGAGGCTTTATAATGCTAAAACACTGCTTTGAGCTCCCCATTCATGTACATCATATCTTTAAAGAGCATAGTTATCCTCTACGCAAATATGAAGTCTTCATTTCAAAGCAGAACTTAAAAGCATTTCAATAATGTAGGTCACAAATCAGCAAAGATTTTCTAGAAAATTCTGTTGAAAGGGAACTTTCATTATGAATTTAGTTGATTTTTGGGACAAGCACAAAAAGTACTACCAACTGAACATGACTGTTCTAGGTAGCTCTCCATGCATGTGGTAATAGTCCCAAGAATTAGGACTACCTTTAGTTTCATTATTTCAACACGGCTGATAAGCAGTTATCTTCTAAAACAATCTAGAACTACCTTTAAAACAACAGGGAAATAGTTCTAATTCTTGGGACTATTTCCATGTTGATTTAAAACTAGTTGCAGGTTGTTTTAGAAGATAACTGCTTATCAGCCACGTTGAAATAATGACACTACAGATAATCAGGAGTACAAAGGCATTGATACATAAGCAGGTATGTTAATACAAATTTTCTGTCATCCTGACTCCTAAAGCACCTTTTGTCAAGGCTGAATTCCTAAAAATACTTGGCATTTCCCTCAGCTCGGTGCCTCATCAGTCCTGTGCTAAGAAGCAAGTGAACTCTTGCTGTGTTAGAAGGTCTATCTCAGTGGAATGTCACAACCTAACGCTAGCTTTTTTCCCCAGAGCTGATGGTTAAATTTTTCCAAGTGATACAAATTCTCAGACTAGCTTTTTCACTTCTTTTTAACTGTATAAACATTTGAATCCTGCTGGAGCTATGTTTCCAGTACCAGAATCACAACTACATTCATACACAGAAGAATTAAATGTGTGGGTTGGTATAATTGCCCACAGATTCAGAACTATATGGCTAAGTGGCAAACAGTCACCTCAAGTTGAAGTTAAGGCTATGTAAGAAAGTTTACAAGAAAGTGATGCAAAATACATCTACAGAGTGCTCATTTCAGAAGTCCCCAACCCATCCATCTAAATGTGCATGAAGGGGAGGAGGGCAGTTTCCTCTGAAGAGCAACTTTCAACACAAAACTGCTGAACAAATCATTTTTTCCCTGGCACATTCTATTTAGGACTTCTAAATATACCCATGCAATTTATGGAAAGATTATCCTGTTCGAGCATTTGCAGAAACTCAGTGCAGTCACATCTCAAAGCTTATATATTGTCATCTATGCACAGAGCAAATACAAGGACAGAAGCTGTTAAATGGTGAAAAGTTTTGCTAATCTTTAACCACAGACACTAAAAATAGATGTTCATGGTTAAGAAGTTTGACAGCTTTGAATTTTGGACACGTGCTTTAAGCTACTGATCCGTAGGACACGTTGAAGTAAAAAATTAGACTTCTAACACAGGTATTAAAATTGGTAAATTGTTGTATCCTTCAGATAGGCTCCTTTACATGTCCCTCATATTCTAAGGAAATGCAGCACCATCCAATGGGGAGTCAAAAGTCATAAATATGCTTCCAGGCAGTTTAAAGTATAGTCTTAGTTGACTGCAAAAAACACTTTGCAGCTTTGACGTGATGAATTGAGTTTGTCGAAAGTTAAATTAAAGAAACCTTTATGTTAACAAGTTCCATTTCTTCACCTTAAAACTGACCCCTGAATAAAAATGTGCTAAGACTAAACTAGAAAATGGCAGCTGATTAAATAATACTCGGACTAAGAAGTACCTGAAATCCAATATTCAGTGTTAATGTTAGCAGTAATAACCTAACAATTAAGTACATTACATACTCCAAAATACCATCTCTGCTAACATCTAAACTTCATGTCATTCTCATTTTAGTAAGGACATACTATAATCATAAGCCCCTTGCTGAAACCATAACTAGCATAAATGAGAAACTTAATATGAAAACCTATGACAACTACAATTGTAGCTCTGTAATAGAGCACGGAGGAAGGCTTAAAGTAGACTCATGAAATTGCCTGCTTACTTTTCATGGTGTCATTAGTGGTAAAGATTGATTATAATATCTGGTAGACATCTGTGAATGGTCAACCTGACAACAAAGTGTTTTAAAGTTAAAATGACACAATCAGCTGTGTAAGCTAGCTAAATTGAGCCTAAAAAGCACCAAGAACAGGTCCTGTGGCAAAGACACACCTACTTCCCAATTTAAAAACGAGCAAAAAACTTCCCAACATCATGTACTATATCCATACTGGAGTACTTCAGCTCAAGCATATACATGCATAAACTGGAAACAAGCAGACACATTATGGAGATGATTGAAGTCGT